ACTTATGTTTAGTAATTATGTATTTTTTTATAATTTATTGATTAATATTTATTAGAGATCAAACTATTACTTGAGATTACACTATTTATTGACTAATTTAATATACTTTTCAGTATTTATTGTATTTTTGTAATTATTGTATTTTTATTAGATATTTATTACATGTATTTTCATTATAAAATTATTTTCAATAATTGTGTAGCTTTTCTATAAATTTTCAATAATTATTGGAGATAAAACTATTGTTATTTATTAAAGATTTTACTTTTAATTTAGTTGAAATTAGGAGTGTTCAATGATTGGTTTAGTTCGGTTGCAGGTTGTTTCGCCAACCAAATCAACATATTTAGGTCGGGAGTTTATCACTCGGAACCAAATGACCATTAGTGAAAACCCGCCAACTCGGGTTGTATTAGTTTGGGTCTATTTCCGGTTTGGTTTGTTTATTCAAAATATTTAAACTTTAAAGTTAAATTTAAATTTAATAAATTACAATGGTATTTTTAAAAAATAAATTTATGATATAAAATATTTTAGACTAAGAAATATGGGAATTTCCCACTTTCCTGTATTAAAAATTATATTTAAAATATAAAATATTAATATATATATATATGGTCGGGTCGGTTCAGTTTTGGTCGGTTTATAAATGGCCAAATCGAAACTGACCTAACTTGGTCGACTTGGAAAATTGCTAAACCAAAGCTAGCCGAAAATAGTAGGAAACCGACCAACTTGGGGCGAGTTCAATCGGATTGGTTATTAAAAAGTTAAAATATAAAACAATTATAGTTATTACTATATAGCAAGACGGTCCACGTAACTTTGCTTCTCCTTACTCCATTATCCCAACCTTGCATTTTCCTTGACTCTCTCTCCTCTCCCCCTTCCCACCACTCCCAAATTTCCATCTTAGCACCCTCTCTCTTTATTCTTCTCCCTTCTCATTGGGTTCTCTCTTTCCCCCCACAACTCACGTCTCTCACTTTCCATAACAACCTAACTTCACTCCTTAATTAGCTCAATATATGTTTTATCCTCTTCTTCACTTCTATCTCTAATTCTCCAATATTCTCTCCACTTTCCCATAAAACTAGGGCCATAATGTATTAAGATTTGGATTTTCAAATCAAACAATATTTATACCTATATACGTGATTTCAAGCAAAGAGAGGGGAATAAGGGAAATTTGATGTTTCCTATATATTCATGGCATCTTCCATTATTGTTAAACAATCTATGCTTAAATAATAATCTATTGTTAAATAATCCATTAGTTATGAAATTTATTAAAAGTTTCTAGAAAATATTCTACAAAAAATTATGAAATAATTATTTCAGAAATAATCCATTATTTAATAAATATTAAATAATTTAATAATCTACCAAAAGTTAATAAAACAATCCATTATTTAATAATTTTTGGTTATTAATAAATATTCAAATTTTCATCATTTATCATAATTTACATTAATCATTGCAATTTAATAAATTTTCATTAAATTTTTACAATAATAATTTATTTATAAAGATATTACTAATTAGTGCAGTTTACTAATTTCTATAAAATCAATAATTATATTTAACAATTATCAAATAATTTAGGGGAACTCTCTAACTAATAATCCATAATTATTTTTTAAATAAGTAAATAAAAATTAATCTATGAAAAAAATATTCTCCAAAACTTTTTAAATAATAACCCATTATTATTTTTCAACTAAATAATTATTAAAAAAATAGGAAAATTAAATTCGGAAATTAATCTATCAAAAATTGTTTCATAATTATTCAAATAACAATTCATTATTATTATTATTATTATTATTATTATTATTATTATTATTATTATTAAGTCTATCCACACCGATCTAGACCACTTGGTTGAATTCGACCATACTTGGTTTTACATTAATTAACAATAAATGGTTTATTTTTAATTAAAAATATTTTAATTTACCATAATTATATTAATTTAATATAATTACATTTATTTTGATTAATAGTAAATAATTTAGGCTTAAAAAAGTAAATATTTTACATTAATTTAATGTTATTATAAATAATTAATTTACTATATATTACTACTAACTAATAGCAATTTCAATATTGTTTTGGAAATTATCATAAAATATTGTAATTTATTGTTATTTAATTTACTGTTAGTTAATTAGTTATTGAAATTATTAGAATTGTGGGGATGGCAATTTTCCCTTTAAAAATGGGGACCTACCTTGCCCCTCCCCAAATAGGGCAAATTTTCTCAAATCTTAAACGATGATGGGGTAGAGATGGGGTAGGGACAAGGAAAATGTTTTTTCCCCAAATTAGGGACGGGATTTGCATATAATTCCCTAAACTTGATGATAAATTAGTAAAACATCTGTAGATTTAATATTTATTTTTAAAATATCTCTAAGCTTTCCTCATATTCTTATAATCATAGGATCCCATAATCTCATTTATAAAATACCCCAAATTGTCATAATCCAATTCTTAAAATACCCCCAAATTCCCATAATCCTATTTGTAAAATATCCATAAATTAGATTTTTTTAGATGGATGACTCAGGGTAGGGAAAATTTTGGGATTCCCCATCTCCTACGGAGAATGGGTGCCTCGCCCAGAACTTGCCCCACCACTGGGGTCGGGGTAGGGATGGAGTAGAGCGTCTTAACTTATGGGGGCGAGGGATAAGGAGGGGTGCCTCATCCCATGCATTGCTCGGCCCCGACTAGTATATGAGAGAGAGAGAGAGAGAGTAGTGGATTTTTTTAAAAACTTTTTAAATTCCTTTGTCATTTAAGCACAAAAAAGTTGGATATGGTTTAAACTTGAATTCATCTAATCAAACTTTGGATCGAATTTGAATCCAAAGTTTTAATGATCAAATCGGGATGCGGATGTAATTGGATCTGATCTAAATCCAATCCCATTACATCCCTAATAGAACTTGACTTACCCCATCATATACATACCACACCTATAGTCAACAAATAAACCATTTTGGAGGGCTTCAGCTAAGCATGGCAACGGTGCGGATTGAGGACTAGGACCATATTCCCCATTCTAGACCCTCGACTTTCAAATAAATCTTTTTTCCCGACCCCAATCCATGTCGGGAATAAAAATGACCCTYCGTCCTCAATTCTCAATGGAGTTGGGTTCCTCATAGAGGACCTAATTCCCCAAAATTTTAAATTAAAATTATTTAAAAAGGATTCACTTAAAACAAGGGAATTTTTTAAGTATAAGTATATTTTAAACATGTTTTGATATGGAAAATATAAATAATAGACATAAATTATATTATATTGTAGATATTTAATATGTAATATATGTTTAATATATATAATCATGGCTAGGATGGAGCAGGGCGGGGAATTCACTCCCCATCTCCGTCCCCATCCCTAGTTGGATATCAATATCAATCTCCATCCTCGACCCAATGGGTTCAGGGAAGTCGGGTACAATGGGGATGGGAAAATTGCCATCCCTACGCATTTGATTGAGCTATGTTGAGTGAGCCACTTTGAGAAGCTACCGAAAATAATTTAATTAGAAAGTTGATTTCTCTGATTATGTAATTATATTTCTGTTTTTTGGGGGGGGTTTTCACCAAACACAACTTTACAGCTTTCCAATGTGAGGCCTACCTTACAACATCAAGGGGGTGTTCTTTTTTCAGATTTTGAGAGGGGGAAAGTTAGTCAATGGGATTTTGGTTCCCATTGACCAAGAATCCCATGTTCTTTTTTTAGATTTATGTGGGGACTAGGGAAAATTTATTTTCTTGGGTATCACTTGGCAACACTTGAATGGGACAAAAATGCCCTTTTAATAATAGATTTTTATGGATAAAATGGCCATTGCCTTATTTACATGAGAAATAAAATAACATGGGTAAATGCACTTACCTGGGCAAGTGTTTCTCAGGAAAAAAACTTACCCAGGTAACTACATTTACCTAGATAAGTAACTTACTGAAAAGTGAACGGGGCCCAAAAGTGAGTTGGGATCTTCATGTTGGTAGAGGGATGGAACATGTTTTGTTAGCAAGTGATCCTGATTCATCAAAAGCCGCTACATGAAAGCCCTCAAGCCTTCCCAAACGGACGCTAATGTTACATTTACAATTGTTCAATGTTATAATGGRGTCCGGATCTGTTCCTCATACAACACGCCTCACACCGACCTTACAATGTGTTCTGACCGCACATCGGGAATATCTTCTGTATTTGTATTTATTATTCATGGGAAGATGTTCCCAATATAGGGTAAAATGTGACTGTGAGGCACACTTTGTGAGGAACAGATCCCAATTAGCTAGAATGTCAATGGATCGGGTTTGGCATGAGTCAATTTGAACCAAACCTGACCCGAAGCATGATTAAGACTGACCCGATCCAAAGCCAATATGTTCGGGTAGATGCGGGTTAACAACTTTGCCCGACCCATTGACGTCCCTAATTATCAAATAACTATTTATTAACTACAACTATAAAAACTGATTGCTGACCCATTCTCCTCACATTTGCTCCCACTTCAAAAGAATTACACTCTTTTTACCTCCATGAGGAGAGAGAGGATAACTTAAGTCTGTGTTTGGTTTGAAAGAAAGGGTGGGAAAAGGTCCCTTCCTTAATTTCCTACATTTTTTTTAAACCAAATACAGCCTAAAAAATCAAAAGCAGAAGCAAAGTTTATTTCTCCTTTTGCCTTGTTACAAAAGATGGACAATAGGTGAATGGGATTCAGAAATGGTAAAAGTTAGAAGAAAATTAGAATTTAGAAAGCTAAAACCGACCAACAGGCTTTATTAAATAAAAGTAGAATGTATGTGAGGCAAAAAAAATTAAAAAAAAAATTAGAAACATGGAGTTACAGTCATATTCCATGAGAACCCACAACTCATCATCCAAAGCTTCTTTTCCTCTTCCCTCCTGAAACATTCTCACAACCCACTCATGAATCATGATCTCATCATTTTCATCTATTGGATTTCTTAAATGTTACAGATACCCCTGTGGCCCCTCTCGCATGCAACCACCGGGGTCCAAGTAATATTCCTCTTTCAAAGGGATTCCCTCTCTCTCTCTCTTTCTCTCTCCCCCCTCCTCTCCCACATAAGATGCCTTCAAAATCTCTTTCTCAGTTTCTCCTGGGCAAAAGAAAAAAACAAAATTGACACTCATTAACAGTACTGACGACTGGTTCTTTCTCTATATATGCTGGAAGATAGATCACTCAAACTGAAATTTTGACTTGCAGGGTGCAAATTAGACGAACATTAATACCATACCAGATATTTGACAGGTTTTACCCACCTCATGCGGCAGTAAGGTTTGGTGCAGTGAAACAGAAAGGAGATCTGGTTAACAATAACATACATTCCTGTTTTATTCGTGTTTACGTCAAATGACAACTTGAATTGGTCTGGGTTGATGGGTTTTGTTCCGTTGTCTTTCTTATAAGCTGCTGAAGAGCTGCCACGACAACGAGAGCGTCCAATCTGCACCGGCTCGCATAACGATTTTGTTTGCTTTTTTCACGATATACCCAGGTCATATTTTTGTTTTTATTTATTTGGGGTTTTCTTAATTGTTTAATTTTAATTGTCTGTTTGTCTGTTCTGATTTGCCAAGGTAATACAGAGAGAAAACAAGGGATTCTTTCTCTATGGATTCTTTGGCTCTTCGTTCTTCGTGTTCTTTCGTTGATGAAGATCATCTTGTTTTCTCGTGAAAATGTGTGTGATGTGTCTGCAGATTCTCTCTCCAAAATCCCCTACCTGCAATAGATGGTGAGGTGCCTATGAGAGGATTCAGTCCTCTCCGCTTAAATCTTAAAATACAAAACCAATTCTCATTGTAACCAGCTTCAGCGGTGGTGGAATCTCCGGCCATGCATACCCTTTTGCGAGTTTTTAAGGATTTGCCCGTATTGGAACGTGTAGCGGTTGCGATCCACTTAACGCTTTTGGTTTTCTTTCTGTGCTTTGTGTCAGTGAGGCGGCTGGTCGCCTGTATTGGCCGTCGGCTTCCGGTCACTAAGGAGGAGGTGTCTAATGCAAATTCGGTTCCTCTTCGTCACAGTGAAGCTGTGATTCGGAATATTGAGATTGGCACGGGATTCAAAGTCTCGGTTTTCTGTTGTTTCTATGTTCTGTTCCTGCAAGTATTCGTTTTAGGGTTCGACGGTGCTGGCTTGATTAGAGATGGGGCGCAGGGGAAGACGAGGGACTGGTCCGTTCTCCAGTTGCCGGTTGCTCAAAGTTTAGCTTGGTTTGTTCTGAGCTTTTGGTGTTTTCACTGTAAGTTCAAGCCTTCTGAAACTTTCCCACCTTTGCTAAGGATATGGTGGATTATTTCATCTGTCGTATGTTTGTGTACTCTGTACGTTGACGGCAGAGAGTTGCTTATAGAGGGGTGGAAGCATGTGAATTCGCATGTTGTGGCAAATTTTGCCGCCACCCCTGCTCTTGCTTTCCTTTGTTTCATTGCATGCCGGGGTATTTCGGGCATACAAATACTCAGAAACTCCGATCTTCAAGAGCCACTGTTGATCGAAGAAGAAACAGGCTGTCTTAAGGTGACCCCTTACAGTGGTGCTGGGTTCTTTAGCTTGATCACACTTTCATGGCTGAATCCTCTTCTGGCAGTTGGTGCAAAGAGACCACTGGAACTCAGGGACATCCCTCTTCTGGCACCTAAGGATCGAGCCAAGACTACTTACAAGATTTTGAGCTCGAATTGGGAGAAAATGAAGGCAGAGAATCCTGCAAAGCAGCCCTCATTGGCTTGGGCGATTTTGAAATCATTCTGGAAGGAGGCAGCCTGCAATGCCATCTTTGCCGGCTTGAACACACTAGTTTCATATGTGGGTCCTTATCTAATTAGCTACTTTGTGGACTACTTAGTGGGGAACGAGACTTTCCCAAATGAGGGTTATGTTCTGGCGGGGGTCTTCTTCACTGCCAAGCTGATTGAGACCATAACCACCCGGCAATGGTATCTAGGGGTAGACATCTTGGGTATGCATGTGAGATCAGCTCTAACAGCTATGGTTTACCGGAAGGGGCTCAGGCTCTCAAGCTCAGCCAGGCAAAGCCATACCAGTGGGGAGATTGTGAACTACATGGCAGTTGATGTGCAGAGAGTGGGGGATTACTCATGGTATCTACATGACATTTGGATGCTTCCTATGCAAATAGTTCTTGCTCTAGCAATTCTCTATAAAAATGTAGGCATTGCCTCAGTTGCAACACTGGTTGCCACCATTGTATCCATTATCGTTACTGTCCCTCTGGCGAAGATGCAAGAAGAGTACCAAGACAACCTCATGGCAGCCAAAGATGAAAGGATGAGAAAGACCTCTGAGTGTCTGAGGAACATGAGGATTCTCAAGTTGCAAGCATGGGAAGACAGGTACAGAGTGAAGCTGGAGGAAATGCGGCATGTAGAATTCAAGTGGCTTCGGAAAGCTCTCTATTCACAGGCTTTTATTACATTCATCTTCTGGGGATCTCCTATCTTTGTCTCGGTGGTCACTTTTGGTACTTCTATACTGTTGGGTGGTGAGCTTACAGCAGGAGGTGTCCTCTCTGCTCTGGCCACTTTCAGAATCCTCCAAGAACCACTTCGGAATTTCCCAGACTTGGTTTCAATGATGGCTCAAACAAAGGTTTCTCTAGATCGTATTTCTGGATTCTTGCAGGAGGAAGAATTGCAGCAGGATGCCACCATTGTTCTTCCCCGGGGCCTCACAAACATGGCCATAGAGATTAGGGATGGTGAGTTCTGCTGGGACCCTTCTTCTCCAAGGCCAACATTGTCTGGAATACAGATGAGAGTGGAAAAGGGGATGCGTGTGGCTGTTTGTGGCATGGTTGGCGCCGGAAAATCAAGCTTTCTGTCGTGCATCCTTGGGGAAATACCCAAAATCTCTGGTGAAGTAAGTATCCTTAATAAAACAATTATATATCGAGTTTTGTGTTTTTCTTGGTTTTATGATTTCTTGTTCCCTTCTTTTATGTTGACAAATAATTATATATACGTTTTTTTTTCATGTTTGCTGGATGGTTTTTAGGTTAGAGTATGTGGGTCTGCAGCATATGTTTCTCAGTCGGCCTGGATACAGTCGGGAAATATAGAAGATAATATTCTTTTTGGCAGCCCAATGGATAAGCCGAAGTACAAGAGTGTTATTCATGCTTGCTCATTGAAAAAGGATTTGGAACTCTTCTCACATGGTGACCAGACCATTATTGGTGATAGAGGCATAAATCTCAGTGGAGGCCAGAAGCAAAGGGTGCAACTTGCAAGGGCTCTATATCAAGATGCAGATATTTACTTACTTGATGATCCCTTCAGCGCAGTTGATGCACATACAGGATCAGAGTTGTTTAAGGTTAGAATGCAATATCGGTACTCCAGTCCATTGTTTTGAAGCACTTTCATTCAAAGGTTCTTGGCAAGTACACTAAAGATGGTTTTTTTATAAATACATGATTTTGGGCTATAATATTAAAATGTGATGCTGCAGGAATACATATTGACGGCATTGGCTACCAAGACTGTGATATTTGTTACACATCAGGTTGAGTTTCTGCCAGCTGCAGATCTGATACTGGTAAAGGATTTTCTGATTTTGACTTCTTATTGTTATAACTGTGTGGAATTCCAACAACTATCATGGTAGCTAAGGCTCTATGTAATGCGCTTTTGTTACCTTTTTTTTTTGTTTGGTTTAATAATTGTTTGAGTAAAGAGAGACTGAAAACTGTCTGGGGGTATTCCTCCTTTTTATAATAATCCTTTTCACGTGTAAGAAAAGGTTCTTGGACCCTGTGAAGACATTTTCTATGTATAATCATGATAATTTTGATAAGTCTTCATTTTATTCTTCTAAAATAAGATTAAACAAAAGAATAACGTAAAAAATAAAAGAACTATAAAATTTGAGTTGCTGAACACCTTTGCTATGATCCTACAATTTTATTTTGGTCTTCCATGTGTGCAGGTCCTTAAAGAGGGACATATCATACAAGCAGGAAAATATGAAGATCTTTTGCAAGCTGGAACTGATTTCAACACATTGGTTTCAGCTCATCATGAAGCAATTGAAGCTCTGGATATCCCCAAGCACTCATCTGTTGATTCAAATGAAAATGTTATTGTCGATTGTTCTATCACGTCTAGTAAAAAGTGTGACTCAAATGCAAATAATATCAACAATATGGTGAAGGAAGTGACAGAAACTGAATCAGCTTCAGATGGGAAAGCAATTAAAGAGAAAAAGAAAGCAAAACGTTCAAGAAAAAAGCAATTGGTTCAGGAAGAGGAACGAGAAAGAGGAAAAGTCAGCATGAAGGTGTACTTGTCATATATGGCTGCTGCATACAAAGGCTTATTAATACCACTCATTGTTCTTGCACAGGCATCATTTCAGGTGCTTCAAATAGCCAGTAACTGGTGGATGGCTTGGGCTAATCCACAGACTAAAGGAGCCCAACCTAGGACAAGCAGCATGGTTCTTCTTGTTGTTTATATGGCCCTTGCTTTTGGGAGCTCATGGTTTGTGTTTGTTAGAGCTGTCTTGGTTGCCACATTTGGTCTAGAAGCTGCACAGAAGTTGTTTACAAAGATGATTAGAACTATCTTTCGGGCACCAATGTCTTTCTTTGACTCCACACCAGCTGGACGGATTTTGAATCGTGTAAGTTTTCTGTAACTGGAAAGCATATACTTTTACTGAGAATCCCTTGGAGGATCAGAACAGTAATGCAGTATATAATTCATTACTTTCTCTCTTTTCACATTTTGATGGATTATTTTTGAACTACCAGGTTTCTGTGGATCAAAGTGTTGTGGATCTTGATATTCCTTTCAGACTTGGTGGATTTGCATCAACAACCATTCAACTTCTTGGTATAGTTGGTGTAATGACACAAGTTACCTGGCAAGTCTTGCTTCTTGTTGTCCCAATGGCCATTGCTTGCTTGTGGATGCAGGTAACCTAATTATATGCCTTAGTTCTTCTTTGTTATAGTGTTTGTAGTTGACATAGTTTTGCACTTCTGCATTGGAAACATAATTAAATAGTTGAATTGTGGGAGCACATAGAGTTATCATAACTTCTACTTCTTTGATAGGGGCACATTTCCAACTCTCATCATTATCATCTAAGCCTTGTCCCAATTCTATGGGGTTGGCTACATGAATCCTGCTTCACCATTCCGTTCTGTTAAGTTCCATATCCAACTGTCTCTTATTGGCAAAAAAAAAGCACCAGCCCAACTCCTACTCATGTATGTTCATTAATGCAGACTCATAACCAACATCCAGATGTTGAATGAATCCATAGTTGGAATTTGCTATTAATATTTGAAATAAATGAATTTGAGGAAACTTAAGGGGACGACCAGTAGTTGACAAGGTAGGAAAAATCAATTAGGGTGGTTGACCATGTAAAATTAATACCAATGACTGGTACCGGTGTGATACAAATTGGAAGGTTAAACATGGAAGGGCATGTCTTAAAAGATTAACTGAAAATACTGTTCCAGAAAGAACTATTAACAGGATTATTCTTTTTTCTAGGGCCAACTATTTGGAGTAAGGGCTTTGCTGATTGGTTGATTGTGAAATTTGAAGCCTATTTCTGCTTAGTTCTTAGTTAAACTTGTTTTATCTGTCAATGTTTCCTTCTGTTGGTATATGCATGTTCAATAATTGATCAAAAAAAGTATATGCATGCAGCCAGGAAGTGAGGCAACCACTTATCCAATTACTTAGTCCTAGTGAATGGAGTGGTTAAGAATTTCTTCCCAGCTAGTAGAGGCCTAAGACAAGGTGACCCATTCTCTCCCTTCTTCTTCACACTTGTTGCTGATGTTTTTAGTAGATTGATCTCAAAAGCAGATGAATAGGAGCTAATAAGGGGTTGGAGACTAGGAAGGAGAAGTGTCACCTGTTATGGTGACCCACCTTTAGTTTGCTAATGATATTATTATCTTTTGTAAGGGGAGTGACTTAACAAAGGTGGACAATCTTAAGAATCTAATAAAGGTATTTGAGAATGCTTCCAATTTGAGGATAAACCTTAATAAAAGTTGTGTTGCTGGAATAAATCTGGAGGATGGGAAGGTAGAGCCCATTGCAGCTTACTTAGGTTGTGCCACCTCTTCTTGGCCTTTGACCTACTTAAGGCTTCCCTTGGGTGCAAATCCTAAAGAGAGTAGTTTCTGGTCCCCTATTGTGGAGAAATTTGGGAAATATTTGGCAGCCTAGAAAAAGAATTACGTCTCTATAGGGGGTAGAGTGACTTTGACTAGGGCAACACTTGCCAACCTTCCAACCTACTTCCTTTTAGTCTTTAGGGTTCCCCCAAGGGAGGCTAAGAAATTGGAAAAGGTAATGAGGGATTTCTTGTGAGAACTGGGAGAGGTGAAGAAGGATCATTTAATCAGATGGAAGATGGTCAATAAAAGTAAGGAAGGAGTCTTGGAGATAGGAAATATAGTTCAGAATAATGAAGCTCTATTAGGGAAGTGGCTATGGAGATGGCCTTTGGAGAGGGGAGAGATTATGGCATGAGAAGGTGTTAAGCATTCATGGCTGCTCAGAGAATGTCTGGGATGCCGGGATATCTCATCGGACTACTCTCAAAATACCTTGGAAGGCTATACATGGTCAAGGTTCAAAGTATTGATACACCCCTGTGTATCAGCAGAGGCGTATCGGTACTTAAAACCATGTGCCTTGGGTTCCCGAAAGACCTATTAACAGGTGTATCAGGACCCCAATGATACAATAAAATATGCCCGATATGGGGCGTATCGTATCAAAATTTTGAACCTTGTACATGGTATTTTCCCTCGCTTCCTTAGGTTTATCATGTATGAAGGGGATTAAGGGATGATGAGTTGATTTGTGTTTCTGAGTTGCTTCAATTACTTGAGTAGGTTTGTTTGGACCCCCACTAAGTCAGATCAAAGAGTTTGGACCCCTCTTCCAAAAGGGACCTTTACTAGTGCTTCCTTTCTAAAATCCCTCACCATCGGGTTTTCCCTGTTAAAGAAGTTTGGATAAGACTTATTACCCCCAAAATTGATGTTTTTTGCTAGGAAGTATTCTATGGGAAAATCAACACTTTGGAAAACTTGCAAAAGAAGAGACCTTATCTTTGCCTCTCCCTTAACTGGTGCTTCCTGTTTAAGGCCCAGAATGAGAACTGTTACCATCTACTGATTTCTTGCTCCTTTGTTGCAGCCTTATGGAGTTAGAGCTTTAGTTTATTTGGATGTAGGTGGAACCCGCTGTCTGATGTAAGTATTCTGTTTAATCCATCTACTTTTGGGTGGCACACGAGAAGAGGAAAAAATATGTGGAAATGTATCAGGGCAGCTATATTATGGACTGTTTGGGAGGAAAGAAATGTTAGAGCCTTCCTAGAGAAGGAAAGAAGTTTTGTTGAAGTGAAGGAATGCATCTTAACTAGAGTAATCCACTGGTTGAAGACATTGGCCATGTTTGCTGAATTCTCATTCGATGATCTTTGGAGGAATAGAAGTGTGATAGAGTGGGAACCTCCTCCAGAAGGTGTCATTAAACTGAACTTTGATGGGAGCAGCCAAGGTAATCCTGGGCCTTTGGGTGTGGGGGGTGTGCATTAGGGATAAGGACAGCAACATTATTTCCTTATTCTCAAGACCGGTGGGAGTGGGAAACTCTACAAGAACTGAGTTACTAGCTGTGGTTCAAGGGATCCAGGTTGCCAACCAGCTTGGGGTGGAACTATCTTTTAATTGAAGGAGGTTCTCAGGTGGTAGTAGGGTGGCTGTCAAACCCAGACACTGTCATTTGGGGCTATAGAGACCTCAAAAAAAGTGAAGTGGCTAACCAGTAATATGAGAGTTGATGTTAAATGGGTAAGCAGGTTGGCAAATACTGTAGCTGACTCCTTGGCCAAACAAGGGGTATCCAGGGAAGGTCTTTTTTGGGCTAGTTTGTAACTTATTCTAGTAAGTCTGGAAAGCTGTATCTAACTTTTCTGGAGAGGTCGCATCTCGTGCCTCTCCTTAGGATGCTTGTACTCCTTATCTTTGGTGCCTAATAAAATTCATTCATATATCAAAAAAAAAAAAGTGCATGCAGCCATGCATATGTGGTACAATTATACACCATAAGATCATTTATCCTTTGCAAAATGTCTTGGACTGTTCTTTTTTATCTCCTGTTAATTTGGATTTGTATGATTTTGTACAAGTAATTGTGTGTTAATGGAGCGCCCCCTACCCCCAAAGAACAAGCAAATGCACATGCAATTGTCTGTTTTAGGACATTTAGGTTTCTATATACAAATGAAGTTAAACCTATGAGTTGTTAGGACACTTCCCACTAGTTTTGTGCCATGAAATTTCTACTAATAATTAGATAGTACAGGTGTAGAAGACTATTGTAGAAACAACATTAAAGATACTAAGTAGAAGGAAACCAATTTGAAGAATTGAGTGACATTAGAGGCCTCTGGGATGGACCTTGGTGTGTGGGAGGGGATTTTAATGTAGTGAGATTTACAGAGGAAACTGTTAGTGAAGGGGTATTTTGGTCTTTGTACTTGTTGAGATTGCTGAGTTGTTCTATTATGTTAGTTCGAGTGCCTCTTACTTAAATAAGGGCACTGATGTCTTTTCCTATCACATTAATAATATAATAACAGGGCTGGCCGAAAGTAGGGTTGAATTTTTCCCTAATTCGAACCAGACCTTTTCTCTCTTTCTTCCTCTTTCTTCCTTCTTCTTGCTTGCTTGCTTTACTTGATTACTAACGGACAAACAGACTTCTAGGGCAGGCCGAACTTCAACATGGTATCAGAGCCAAATTAAACAAATCGGACTTGCCTAGAATTCTGTCTTCTGCGCATTTGACCTAGGTTTTTTTCTTTGATTTCTCAGCCGTCGATTGGAGATTGGGAAAAGGGCTGAAAATGAGTGATCGCCCTCTTCCCTTGGAGGTGTCTATGCCTCCGGTTGTGTCGTGTGTGGTCGGTTGCTGTGCTTTCTAAGCCCTCCCCTAATCAATGTAGGGCTGGTACGTGTGGTGCAGTGGGTGTTTTCTTTCTTCGTGTKGTTGTCCTTYAGGCRATGAGGTAAGGAGTTTCTTTTATGCATAATTTCTGTTATGAAGCACATAAGAGGTATGGTACAGATCGTATGGAGGGGTTTCAGATTGTAGTGTGCTAGGGTTTATGCTGGTTTGTGTGTGATTCGAAGGGAAGTGGTGTTCACATAGTGGTGAAACTTCAGGTARCTGTAGAGTAGGATCTGTGGTGTTACAAGTGCAACTTTCAGCACTTATTATTGCTGAAATCAGTGTGCAGAATTCGGTGATAAAAGAATTCAGCAGTGGGAGATAACAATGATAGTAAACCTAATGTGATGATATCTACTGACTACCTGAATGTCCAAATGACCTCCATTAAACTAAATGGGGAGAATTATGTCCCTTGGGCTAAGTCTGTAGAGTTTTTTTTGAAGGCAAAGAAAAAGGTGAAGCACATAGGAGAGGAGAAACCCCCCACTGATTCTCATGAGTACAAAGACTGGGAACAAGAAGATGCACAAATCATCACGTGGTTATGGAACAGTATGGAACCCAGAATTAGTGTAAACTTCATGTTTCTTGACACGGCCAAAGAGGTGTGGGATCATGCTAAGAAATTGTATTCTGGTCAGGACAATACAACCAGTGTATATCAACTGTACAGGAATACTTCAATCTGCAACAGGGCAATCAGAGTCTTGAAGAGTACTATGCCAGTATGAGAAACATCCATAATGAGTTGAATGTCTATCACCCTCTCACTCCTGATGTCAAGATTCAACAACAGCAGAGGGAGCAGTTTGATGTGACTCGGTTTCTGGTGGGGCTGAAGTCTGAGTATGAACCAGTACGAGCCCAGATACTAGGAGGATCAACCCTTCCATCTTTAGAGGTGTTTGCTCGACTT